GCAAGATCTCCGCGACATCCCCGGTGTCTCACCGTATATGTACGCGGACGACACCGCAGCACTGTGCGCCGGGAACTCCATCCAGATAGCCAAGGACAGGGCCCAGAGGGCTGCAGACGCCCTTCTCGCCTGGGCAAAGAAGTCGAAGATGGTCGTTGCAGCTGAGAAGACCCAGATGCTGGTGTTGTCACAGTGGCACCGCGACGCAGTCGACTGCCAGATTAAGATGGCGGGGAAGACAGTGTCAGCCACGGACTCCATCAGCCTACTCGGCGTGCAGTTAGACCGTCTGCTCCACTTCGGCCCCCACTGCCATAAGCTGAGGAAGAAGGTCCGTCCACGCATCGCGCAGCTGCGTCAGCTGTCCGGACGCTCCTGGGGCCTCGAGGAGGACCTGCTCCGGACAGTAGCCAGCGGCTATGTCCGAGGAGCCCTGGAGCATGCCGCAGCAGCCTGGCTTCCTGCCACGCCGCCCTCCCACGTGGAACTTCTGGAGAGGGAAATGAGAGCAGCGGCGAGAGTCGTCACGGGGTGCACTCGCAGCACTCCGTCGGACGCGCTCATGGCGGAAGCGGGCCTTCTCCCGGTATCGGTGAGGAGAAGGACACTGGCTGCGCGTTTCCTGGCCAAGGCGACTGCGCTCCCCCCGGAGGAGCCGCTCCATCGAGTAGCCGCGTCGGACGCCCCGGCCCGTCTAAGATCCGTGACGGGCTGGAGAACCCTGGGACGAGAGATGTGGGAGGCGGCCGGTGTCGGCCCCCCTATCGACCCAGTATCGCAGGCGAGCGTCCCCCCGTGGGAAGTGAAGAGCGGGGTCACCATCAGCCTGGACGTGGGACCACTACCACTGAATGCGACCTCCACACAGAAGAGAGACGCGGCGACCTGTCACCTAGGTAGTCTGCCACAGTGCGCGACTTGGGTTTGGTCCGACGGCTCGGTGGAGGGAGGCATCACAAACGGCGGCGCTGGCGTTTTCATCGAGGACCCGGACGGCCAGCAGCACCTACTCACGGTGCCGGCGGGGAACGTCTGCTCCAGCTACCGTGCTGAAATGGTAGCCCTCAGAGAAGCGCTGAAGTTCCTGCTGGACCGACAAACCCTCCCTCCTGAGCCGATCGTGATATGCACGGACTCCCAGTCAGCTCTGGCGACACTCCGGGGTGGCCCCTCTACCCAAACAACCCTCATAGGAGGAGAAATCTGGGCGGCGCTTCAACAGCTGGCGGCCCGCGGCAGGCGTACCTACCTACAGTGGGTACCTTCCCACTGCGGCCTGCCCGGGAACGAGAGAGCGGACGAGCTGGCGAAGCAAGCTTCAGCACTGGACCAAGAGGAAGTCCCCGTCGACGCCATGACGGTGTACCGCGCGGTGGCAAGGACGGCGCGGGACCAGTGGGTCAGCGACTGGCCGCGCGGATGGTACCGCAGCCTCATGGGAGCGAAGCTGCCGGGACCAGTCAGACACCTGGATCGAGCGGAGGCGGTGGATGTGCACCAGTTGCGAGCGGGGCACTGGTCAGGCTCCGCCCAGTACCTCCACCGAATCGGCCGGAACCCGTCGCGACACTGCCCGCAGTGCGAAGACGTGGACTGCCAGGGTGCCCGTTGCCCCCTGTGCAGAGAGACGGCGGATACTCCGTACCACGTCCTGGTCGAGTGCCCGGCCCTGATGGGCGCCAGGCTGCGACTCACCGGGACAATCAGACCCAACAGGGAAGAGGTGCGGAGCGACGGAGTTGTCGCGGCCCTGGCGGCCGCGTTCAGGACCCTGCAGAGCCGTCAGGCTACAGTCGACTGAGGTCGACCTGGAGGGAACAAACAACAACAACAACAACGGGCACGTGTGAGGTTAGCTGACCCGCCCAGGCGAAGATTGACCGCCTGGTCAGCACCCCGGGTGGCTCAGCTGGTGTCACGCCGTCCCGAGACCATCTCAGTGTGCCGTCACCGCCAGACTGCCGTCTCACTCGGAGCCCCAGCATCCGGGCTCCGGCCTCGTCCGCTACCCGTTCCGGTGGCTTACACGAGAGCCCGTATGCGGCAAAATGTTCGGTCACCCGCTCAGCAGAGATGAGCGTCTCGTTAACGAGCAGGTCGTCAGCGTACGGGAGCAATGCTTTTGCGATCTCTGGACTTTGATCCAAAACTTCCCGCACTACCGCTCGCATGATGCCGCTTGCAACGCTGAGACCAAATCCGACCCTTGTCAGACAATGTCGCTGGCCGTCCACGATTACCGTCTGAAACGGCCACAGCTCCTGGGCCACGTATGTACAGCTGCAGAAACGCCTTCTTCAGGTCGATGACGGCCACATCGTCGCCGTGTTGCCGCCACTTGCGGAGCTGGTCGCGGCACACATCAGCTTCAGCCGTATGAGCCACCAGGTGCTCATTCAGCTCACGGTAGTCGAGCACCGGCCTGACCTTGTCCTTGGCTTCCTGGGTGACCGCCATGAGCGGAATTAGGCCACGCACCGGCCCGTGTTCCTGCTCATTATACGGCCGCAGCCACCCTTCCTCGATCCACAGCCGTAACTCTGCGTCGAACCGCTCCTGCGTCTCTGCCGGCACGCGATATTGCCGCACAGTATTCTTGAGTTGTTTTGGCTCCTTTCCGTCGGCCCACTTCCACCAAACTGTCCACTTTCCGTCGCTGAACTTAGCCACAAAATCAGCCGTCTCGATTTGTCTGTCTACTGGACCACGCCCCTGAGACACCGCTGCCGACATACCGCTCGATTCTGCCTTAACACCGGCGCACCTCGAACGCTCCCCCGTCACCACTTTACACCAAAACACACCTCTCCACCACTAACAAACACACCACCCAGCGCCTCTAACCCGGTCATGCCCAACAGCACGTCAACACCCAACAACCTTTCCGCCACTACCACAGCACGGACCACCGCCCGCCGGCCTTGTGCCTCCAGCAGCACCTCTGCACTCCCGCAGCATCGCACGGCACTCCCATTCACCGCGGTCAAGTTTGTCTCACATCGATCCCATTTATCGACACAACCCGCGAACACTACGGTCTCCTCGCAGCCCGTGTCCACCAGCGCGTGACACGGTCGCCCGTCGAGCAGCATCTGGATTACCGGCGCTCTGCTGCCGGCTCGGTGGACGGCGGAGGAGGTGCTGGCGCTGATGCAGCTCCCCCGCCGCAGCCGTTTGGGCACATCCGGGCGACATGACCTGGGCGACCACATATCCAGCATCTGATCGGAGCCGGCCGGCGACTTGACCTTGAAATGTCACGTGATGGCCCACTCGCCGCCGCCGCCGCCGCCGCCGCCGCCGGTGGCGCTGCCGTGACTGCTGTCCTGGACAGCACGGTTCTCGCTCGGTCCAGGACGTACTCGAGAGTGAACTCGTCTTCGAGCCCGTCCCGAACCGCAGCTTGCGCAGCCTCCGGCAGCCCATTGACGAAGGTGATGGCGATAGCTCTCTCCGGCAGACCTCCCATCAACTCAGCGAGCTGCTGCAGCGCCGCTAAGTACACATCCGCCGTCTCTCCGGGATGAAGGCGACGCCGTGCCATTTCCGCCTGCGCGGTGAACGGGTCCAACCGTCCATGGCGAAGGCCCTCAGCAGCTTAGCCTTCACGCTGGGCAGCTGATGACGAGTCGCTGCGGGCATTCGGGACCACACCGCGAAAGCACCGCCGCGCAGGCGAGTCGGCAACACAGCCATCAAGGACACTGATCGCAGCTCGCACAGGAGAGCAGCCTGCTCCAGCCACTCCACTACGTTTCCAGTTCCGTCGAACTCCGGAATAGTCCTGGCGTCGAACGCCGGAGTCACCTCCATCACCGCTCTTCCCGCGGCGTCACTGGTCTCCTCCTCGACACTCGGCATCTTCTCACCACTTGTCAGAAAAATGCCGAAATAGCTTGTGGCATTCAAACTTTGCGTCTATCGTAGACTGTATTTCTTCACCCTTCAGACATCTCAACGCGCACACCGACCCGTCCTCTCTCTCTCCCGCCCTGCTCTCCACTGCCCGCCCGTCTCCAAATGTCCAGCCTGATATACGGACCGGCGTGTCCCTGCTGCCGCGCACATGTGTGGCACATGGACCTCCATTTATGACCACTTATGACCCGACGCCGACCCTACGCGACAAGGCTAGAATACAAACTATGTGAACAAACAGAGAGACACAGTCACGACACACAAAAATTTTGAAAAATGATTTTTTGGAAGTTCTAGACCTCGTACGGAAACAAAAATAGCACCATTCGATTCGCCGTGAAAAACTGCATCAGATAGACACCTTTTTAGGCCTTAACAACCAACTTCAAAATTTGACCTCACTGTAACATCCAGGCTCAGCACGGACCTTTATTGGCACCGGTCCAACTCCAGACTGCCGGCCGCCGCTCCGGCCCGGCGGTCGGCACGCTCACACCGCCACTCAGCTGACCCAGCGCCCCGGGTCATAGACCGCAGTCAGGGGCCTACAATCAAGCCGGCCCAGTGACACTCAAACCATCACATTACCTCCCTCCAAAAAAAAAACAACAAACAAACCACAAACACCATTCCTGGCTCAGTAACGAAAAGAACACAACAGCTACACAGAAGTCTCAAGTGTTCATTAACACATATCTACCCAGCACCGGGTCTGTAGTAGTCCGGCTTGCGTCGTTCACGCTGTGATCGACGCAGTGTGACCGACGGAACACCTTCCGCTCTCTCTAGTGAGCCCGACAGCCCTCGGGACACCAAAGAATCCTGAGTCACGCCCGTGGCAGTCCCTTCACTCAAAGTCTGACTCTGATCACCTGTACACGCGCGCGCACTCGAAGTCTGATCACCCGCACATACGCACGCACCAGAGGGGAGACGAGCAGCCGGAGACGACTGTACTCCGGGACTCTCCGAGCTCTGCTCAGGCTGGCCGGCGTCAGCCGCCGGTCTCCGGTCCGAGATCACCACGGGATCCTCCCGCTGATCGTCCTCCAGCCAACTCTCGTCCGGCTCGCCACCCGACAGGTCCCGCCTCCCCCGCAGCCGTCCGAAGTCGCAGACGTCCGTCTCCGTGCGATTCTTCGGAGCAGAGTCGCCCGCAGACCGCAGCTGATCGAAGTGACGGCGCCACAGTCGACCATCGTCCAGCCGGACCTCCGCCATCGTTGCACCGAGGAGAGAGCCGACCACTCCGGGCGACCAAACCGGTCCGCTCCCGAAGCCTCTGGCGTAGACTCTGTCGGACACCTGAAATTGACGGCCTTTAGTACGCATATCATAGTACTCTTTCTGTCTATCCTTCTGCTGCTCTACAGTCCGTTCCAAGTCCGGTTTGAGAAGTTGCAGTCTCGTCTTTAATTCTCGACCGAACATCATAGACGCAGGCGTTACCCCCGTTGTTGCATTGGGTGTTGAATGGCAGCTGATCAGCCATTTAGCAAGTTTGACGGACATGGTTCCGGAAGTGGATCTTTGAAGCGCATACTTTACTTCCTTGACGTACCTTTCCGCCAACCCGTTACTTGCCGGCCTGTGAGGAGCCGTCCTCACATGACGGATGCCGTTCCTCCTCGTGAACCGCTGGAACTCCTCCCCGATGAAGGCCGGACCGTTGTCCGAGACGATGGTGTCCGGGAGGCCGAACCTGCAGCACAGCAAACGAAGAGCATCCACGGTAACAGCGCTGGACGTAGAAGTCGTCAACACAACCTCCACCCATTTCGATGTTGCATCAACGACCACCAGTACATACTTCCCATTCACAGGCCCGCCGTAATCGACATGAATTCGCGACCAAATTTTTCTCGGCCAATTCCACTGATGTAGCTCGTTTCTTACAGGATGGGGCCTGGTTTGTTGGCACCCATCGCAAGAGCGCACGAATCGCTCGATGTCTCCATCTATATGAGTCCACCACACACATGTTCTCGCCACAGCTTTCATCCGACTCACCCCAGGGTGTCCTTCATGTAGCTCGTGTAAAACGTGCTTCTGTGCCTTGGCAGGCACGACCACGCGGCTGCCCCACAGCAGCACTCCGCGGATCACCGACAGCTCATCTCTCCTGTGGAAGAATGAGCGGATGTCCTCCTCGTCAGGCCACTCACCAGTCTCTATGGCCTGCCGCACCCGACTCAGCAGAGTGTCCCGAGACGTCAGCGCAGCAATCCGGGAGGAGTCCAATGCAAACTCCTCCTCCAAGCTCTGCAACAAACACACCATCTCAGACACCTCATGGTCACGCTCCTTCGAGACGGGAAGGGGTAATCTGCTGAGACCATCGGCATGTCCTATCTGCGTCGTTGATCTGTACTGAATCGTGTAATTGTACGCGGATAACCGTAGCGCCCATCTCGAAATCCTTGCGGATGCTGTCGCCGGAATCCCTTCATGCTCACCGAACAGTTTGACCAGTAGCTTGTGGTCAGTCACCAAAATGAATTTGTCATTTCCAAACAAATACTGGTGAAACTTCGTGACGCCAAACACCAAGGCCAACGCCTCCCTCTCAATTTGGCTCATTTTCTGCTCAGCTTTGGATAGCGATCGTGAAACAAACCCCACTGGCTTCTCGGACCCATCCCTGTATCTGTGTGAGAGCACTGAGCCAATGCCAACAGAGGATGCGTCACAAGTGAGCACAAGAGGAACGGTTGGATCAAAATGCGCCAGCACTCGTTCCGACGTTATCAACGTTTTTGCCTCATTGAAAGCACTCTGCTGCTTTGGTCCCCAGGCCCACAAAGCATCCTTTTTCAAAAGCTCATGCAATGGTGACAGTACCTCAGATCGGTTTGGTAGAAAACGAGCATAGTAATTCAGAATGCCCAAGAAACTTTTCAGCTCGGACACGTTTTTGGGACTTGGCGCAGAGTGGATGGCTCTCACCTTCGCCTCTGTGGGGTGACAGCCCTCAGCGTCGATCCTGTGCCCCAGGTACTCCACGCTGTCCACGCAGAATTTGCACTTCTTCTCCGACACACGGAGTCCGGCATCTTGCAGCTTCTCCAACACCGCAGATGTGCGCTGTAAGCAGTCGTTCTGGGATTTCCCAGTAATGAGCACATCATCTAGGAAAACACAGACACCAGGCATACCATTCAACAACTTCTCCATCTCTCGCTGAAACAACGCCACCGCCGAGTTGACACCGAAGCCCAGGCGTCGATACCTGAGAGGTCCAAGGTGAGTGTTAATCGTCAGGACATCTCTGCAGTCTTCATCCACCACGCACTGCTGGTAGGCCTGGCTCAGATCGAGTTTGGTGAAGACTTTGCCTCCCGCCAGTGAGGCAAAGAGATCTTCTATCCTTGGAAGTGGGTATTTGTCAACACGAATGGCACGATTTGCTGTCAGCTTGAAATTCCCACAGATTCTGACACTGCCGTCTGACTTTAACACCGGTACAATCGGAGCACCCCAAGCTGCATGTCCAACTGGTTCAAGCACACCCATGTCAATCTCTCGCTTGAGCTGCTCATCGACCCTTTTCTTCAATGCAAAAGGTAGCGGCCTCGGTTTATAAAACTTGGGAGCCACACTACTGTCAATGTCTAGTTTAACTTTCACCCCCTTGAGCTCACCCAGGCCTGGTCTGAACACTTCAGCGTATTTCTCTTTCAGAGCCGTGACAGCATCACTTCCACTCACCGAGAAGATGTTGAACCAGTCCAGCTTCAGGTTCCCAAGCCAGTCGCGCCCGAGGAGGTTTGGTCCATCTCCTCCAACCACCACCAGTGGAAGCCATCTCGCCTGGTTGTTGTACTTCACGTCCGCGATGAATTCACCCACGACCGGAATCTTGGCTCCAGTGTAGGTTCTGAGGACAGACTTTGGCTTCTTCAACTCAGGAGTCGGATGTATCTCCTGAAACGTCTTCACATTCAAAAGCAAGACAGCCGAGCCCGTGTCAACCTCCATTTGTATGACTGTGCCCTCGACATCAACATCAACAATGACCGGCTGAGACGCATTTTGAACGGCGTTGACTACAGTATGAATCCTATCTGAATCAGAATCAGACTCGTCAGAAATGGGCGGGTCCCTTTCCACCAGGCTGGTTGTCTGGGAGGGTCCCTTTCCACCAGCCTGGTTGTCTGGGTTTCCCACTCGTCGGGTTTGAGACTGTTCTCCGCTCCCTCTGGGGACTACACAACGGCGTGCTAAATGTCCAATTTTTCCACAATTGAAACATTTGAAGCTGGCGTAGCGACATGTTTGGGCCGGATGAGAACGGCCACAGCGGTGGCATGGCTTACCGCGACTGCGTTGGCCGGCGTGCACTTCATTGATCCCACCCGGCGTCACGTCCCGACCCGGCACAGAGATCTCGTTGACGGTGCTCTCCTGTCCTCCGATGATCCTGGCGTCCCTGGAAGCCGCTTCTAGTGACAGACAAATCCGGTTAGCCTGAGAAAACGTCAGTGTCTCTTCCGACAACAACTTCCTTTGCATCTGAGCATCATTCACTCCACATACCAAACGATCTCTCAACATCTCATTCAGGGTCTCTCCAAAAGAACAGTGCTCAGTCAGCTTCCTCAGCTCAGCAACATACTCTGCTACTGACTGGCCCTCCTTTCTACAGCACGTGTTAAATTTGAATCGAGCCACAGTCACAGACGTTCGAGGTTTCAAGTGACCATTGAGCAAAGTCACAATTTCTGTGTACGATTTGTCACCGACTTTGCCTGGCGACACCAAACTCCGTAACACAGAATAGGTATCCTTACCGCATTGTGAAAGCAGGTAGGACTTCTTCTTGCCATTGTCAGTCACATTTCTTGCATCCAAGTAAAACTCAAATCTCTCGAACCACTCTTCCCACACATCTTCGCGTAAATTAAATGGGGCTAAACTGAAGCCTTCAGCCATCTTCCATAGCACGATATTCACCTCGTCGCCAATTGTAACATCCAGGCTCAGCACGGACCTTTATTGGCACCGGTCCAACTCCAGACTGCCGGCCGCCGCTCCGGCCCGGCGGTCGGCACGCTCACACCGCCACTCAGCTGACCCAGCGCCCCGGGTCATAGACCGCAGTCAGGGGCCTACAATCAAGCCGGCCCAGTGACACTCAAACCATCACACTCACTTGACCTGACCTTGACCTGACCTCGACCTGAAATTCATCCAGAGGTGGTCCATATCACTTATTGAGTGTGCCTATTGAATTCTATGAGTAAAATGACCCATAAAACATGTGTCGCACATGCCCTTTTCTATATTTTGTTTTTGGTGACCTGACCTGACCTGACCTGACCTTGACCTTGACCTTTGAGTGACATTGTATGCAACGAATATTGTCTTGGTAGTCTAAGAACACGTTTTGGGCAATCAGTTTCAGTCCATTCTTCGGCAACTACGGTGCAAGGCCGATACTGTAGAAACTTGCATTTTGTACCCTTGACCTGACGTTGACCTGACCTCTGACCTACTTAAACAAAAAAAAAAATTGGGCTCTTAAGATCCGCCTTGTTGAGAGCTTTCGATTGCCGTTTTCCCCGTCTTTCTACAACCATCGGTTCGGAAGTTAGACAGGGGAGGGGCAGAATCTGCCCCCCCCCCCTGTCTGAGGAAGATCTGAGGAAAGACACGTCGCCCTCTATAATGAAATGAACCCAACGAATGACGCCGTAATTGTCCTGTTGCAATTGTGAAAACATGTCGGAAAGCTATCATAAAATTGGAGGCATTTTAGTTGATCATCACCCACGACATAATCGTGCCATCCTAAAAAACAAAACACCGATTGACAATGTTGTCCTTATGGACCTCTGATGTCACCAACAACGGTACCGACCCTCGTCGTGAATCATCAAAAGGAAACGCTAACCACGAAAAAGACATTGTCGTCGTGCCAATGAATCCGCATCTATCAGATAACGACCAGATCAAAGGCTAAGTTTTTATCGCGACCACTTTGACTCTACCAGTGCAGTTATCTTGTCCGATCAAAAAGGCAGATGTTCACCGGGTGTAGTGCTCCACTTTTCCGCGTGTCTTGCTCTCGCTGGGCGATGTTACACCTTTTCTATGTTTCTGCAGCCTCTTTACACCAGTGCCGTCACGAAAACACGGTCTTGTCCTCATACACACGACACCTGTAATCACACCCTGATCAACACCTCTGGGACCATCCATCGGAGACCACCCGGGACCTCAGCGGACCACCCACGGGCCGCCGGGGACCACTGGCCGCTGGACCACCCGGCTGTAGACAGACGCGGCGCGGGGGCAGCATTCATGGCGCAGGGCTCTGTCCAGTGTCTACCGCCGTGCGCCGGGCCGTCAGATAATCCTCCTTTTGACCTCAGGGCCTTTGTGCCCCAATGATCGCAGTTTCCGCGGGCGTCGCTCGCTAAGAGACGCGTTCACGATTCGCCGGCGCCTTTTGAACGAGCTCGGGTGCCTCGATGGCGTTTGGAATGGTCTCAGACTGGCAGCGGATATCGAGGAAGAGAGGAGATAGAGGGAGAGGGTGTGAGAGAGGAAAGGGAGATTCTAGAGAGAGAGAGAGGGTGAGAGGGTGAAATATTGGGTGAAAGAGTGAGGTGAGAAGGGAGAGAGAGAGAGAGAGAGAGAGAGAGAGAGAGAGAGAGAGAGAGAGAGAGAGAGAGAGAGAGAGAGAGAGAGAGAGAGAGAGAGAGAGAGAGAGAGAGAGAGAGAGAGAGAGAGAAAAAAGAGGGGGCTATGTGTGAGAGGGGGCTCCGGGCTAACGCGGGTTATGTTTTTTTTTTCGGACAGCTGTCGAGGTGGTAACCAGACGATATCTCAATTATCTCCATATGCTCTACGGCCTACGCGCTGTGTCCACTAAGAGATCCTCGGAAATTCTTAATTTCCCATAATTGACCACAAGACTCTGTCACTTAAATTCTCTCCGAGACATTGGCGCGTTGAGTGCTATTCCTGCAGTCTCTGCAGACATATCTTTGCGTAATTAAACACTGTAGTGTGACACGTCGCCTATGAGCGCCGCGCTCTGCTCACGGTAATGATCCTCCCCAGAGCGGCGAGATACTAGCCCATCCCGCCCGGATCAAAGGCCTCTGCCGACCGCCTTCATCCCCCGGCCGGCACCGCTCGCCCCCGAGCACGCGCGTCCCGCCCCCGGCGACCTATTTGCCGGCGACCGGCGGCGATGTGTGGATCGCCCATGATCGTAAATACAATACAATACAATACAATACAGCGCCTGGGATGGCGGCCGATAACTGCCCCGAGGGCGGAGCGGTACCGCCGTAACACCCGGCCGCCCGCGCAGCCCCACGTGGGGTTCTCGGCCGCAGAGCGGCGCGCTGATTGGTTGGTGGTTTGAGAGCGGGCGTATGATTGGTCGCCGTCAGACCCCACGTGGGTGAGTCGCCGTGGTGCGGTTGGCGCCCGGCCGTTGCCACCCCACGTGGTTGTATGACCATTGACTGGTCGGTAATGATCTGGCCGGTAACAGGATGGGCTCGCCGCAGCCGCAGGCGGCAGCCTCCTCTTTTTACGTTATGCATGTTTCCTGGGTATCATCCAGTAATGGACGAAACTCGAGCGGCGCTGCCCGGCGAGCGGGACGCCGCCGGGTGCGGAAACGCCAACAGAGGGCCTCGGTGCCCGGCGGCGGTGGCGCCCCCAGTGATGCGGTAGTGCGGCTTGAAATCAATAGGTGGCGCTGTAGACCGTAAATGGGCGCATAAAATGTTATTGATTGCAGTGGGCAAGTAAACGTGTTGGGCAAATCGGTTAGCTGTTGAGCGCCGACGGCGGCGGCTGGCGGGCGGCGGCGGCGGGGCGTCAGACGCGCTCAGGCGGCCGGCACGTGCGAGTGTGTATCGCGGCGCTGGTGGTCGGTTCAGCGAGTGTGCGGCGATAGAGTGAGGCGGCGTGCGCGTGGGATGCGTGTGTGCGGAGAATGTTCTCCGGTATGAACCCAGCGGCAGCGGCGGCCGCCGCGCGGCACACGGTGAGTGACCTCTGACCCCTCCCCCGCTACTCCCCCCCACTTCCCCTACCCTTACCCTCCCCCATATACCTGACAGACTAACCCGCGTCCCCAACATTGCCGGCAGTGAGTAGATGTAGATTTCAGTTGTCAGATGAGTACGAGCTAGGTTGATCATTGATCAATGATCATTGATCAATGATCATTGATTACCCACCGGTCCATTCTTATATACTCGTAGGTATTTGTGACAAGCTAGTAATTGCCCGCTGTAAATAACTTTGTGATGAAACAATTGCTACGATGGAAATGTGTGGGAAACTGTCGTCACGAATGGTAAATTACAAGGGCTCATTCCGAGTGGCGGCAAACATTAATAAGGCGACGTTTGCATGCTAAGACAGAGCCATTTAACGAATTTGCTCAGCGTTAATCATTACATGCTTTGTCGGAAGACAGCGATTAAACCCAGACTTGTTTATGAATTCTGTGGTCAGGCAATTGTAAATGAGTAAGTAGCTGCAGAAAAGAGGTTTCCGTGCTCAGTGCTGGCTTGCCTGCAATATGGTGTGGCTTGTCGGTAGTGATTAAGCTCACTTTACGGATAAAGGGGAGATTATTTCTGCAAAAGAGATGTGTTTGTGACGAGAACAAAGGAGCAGGAAAAATGGATTTCAATGGATTTGGCAGGTGCTAATTGCTATTCAGAATTTAACACGTGAATGAAGGAGTTGAAAGCTGCCAAACCCGCTCACTCGCCCTGCTTAGAGTGAGCCCAAAACTTCAGCGCGCGGTGGCCTAACGGGGTGTCACAGCCCCTCCAGCGAGGTCAGGTCAGGTCAGGTCAGGTAGCCTTCCTGTCAGCGCTGATGATTTAATTCAGAGACCACATTTGAAGGAGGTTTTGAATGGAAATACTGATGTGTCGTTGTTAACTTCTGGAAACCTCTTTTATATAATTAAAAGCGTGATTATTTAATTGGGTAATTGCAACAGATATTCCAGCGTTGCTTTGGCGCACAGAGGTCAATGATAGGTAGATGTGTTAACATTGTTTTAAAACCGTTTTTAACACTGTTGTTGTTTTATGATGTTAGGCTAGATTATTTGACTGTCGTTTTATATGTGAAGGATTGTATTTCAAATTTGATATACCTGACCACATAAAAATGCAATTTATGCGTAGCGACGACCTCCACTGTCTCTGGCGAGTCATCTCCATTATAACTACCATAGATCTGAGCTTGGATGAGCGGATATCAGTACCTCACACGAAATTGATGCATGTCGTTCCCCTGGGGCACTCGCCGCTTGGATCTCATCGAACTCAATGACCCCCACCCGTAACCGACGGGAGTATTTATATGGATCGCAGTACATACCATTGGTCATCGAAATGCGTGATGTAAATGCGCGCCGAACTGCGCGCTTCCAATGCGCCAGCTCAGTATTCTGACTCTGAGGTGGTCCAATAGTTCCATTTCCTATCAGTCCGGACTCTGTTGCGGCTCAATGGCTCCAGTTTAGATCAGTCCGGACTCCATGATGTAGTCCAATGGTTCCAGTTCAGCTCAGTTCGGACTCTGGTGCGTTGCATTCAGCTTGGAGTAATAATATGTGGCGAACTGATAAGCGCTGAGCAGATAATGCGCTGAATGAAGGGAACTATTAGTACTTTAGGCAGATAACGTGCTGTCCAGTGTAAGTGTTCTTGTGAATACGTTTACCTCTATCCAACACCACCCAGCCAGCCTCCTCCCCAATAAAAACAGCAGTTTTGGCAACTAATCAGCTCGATACTGAAGACCAGACGGCGCGGATCCGAGAGTCATCTGTTGCTGGATCGGCGACAGGTCCCCACTGACTCACTGAGTAGTCACGCTGTTTTGGCCAAACCGGAGGTACCCTACGCCACATTATGGTTACGCTTTGACAAACCAAATGTTTGACATGGGCTCTCAACGACAGTTGGCACTGATGACTGTGTTCCGTGCAGTGCGGAAGCCATCCAGTGGACCTTAGGGTTTTACGGGCTTCCTTTCGTAGGTCGCGTTCTTGGAAAGACCGCCACACGGAACTAGCATAAGTGACGGCAGAAATGGCCAGCGCCGCCTGGTGATGGCTTTGCAGCGTTTGTGGTCAGCATGGAGTAGTGCTTTGGAAGAAAAGACTTGTGCAGGACTTCGTGCCGAAAAGTGGAACTCAGTTAATTCATGTTTCCTTGTTTCTATATAATACTTTTAAAAAGCAATTACTTTATATCTAAAGCAGAAGTGATTTAAAATATATAAATCAAAGAGAATGAAGTCAGCCCATGCCGTCATGCACGACTGTTGGTGTGCATCAGATATATGGCTAATTTGGATGAAGCTCCAGTAGTCGGAACTATATTTATTTGATTCTTGGCGCGCTCATAGGTGTTGTTTACTATCGGTAAATACCTACGCGATGAACGTTGACTGAAGGCTAAGGTGGCTAATGCATCGGCTGATTCAGTGCGGCCGGGGACATCTTCTAGCTCCTGTCGCTCTTTACCGAGCCCCTTGGGTCGCTCCACGCCACAGGCGCCAAATTAGAGGACGCCGATCAATGGCAAATCAAAGAGCGCCGATCAATGACAAATCAAAGAGCACCGATCAATGACACACAGCTGCTGCTCTGATCCTCCCGCTACACCGCGGTGGTATCGATTTACCGCTGATTTCGTATCGATTGTACAACGATTTCATATCGATTTACCGATGATTTCATATCGATTTTACATCGAGCGTTGGAAGCGCGCCCCCATGATGCGTGCTTAAACAAAGACCTCAGCCCCCACTTAAGTGATTTCAGCGTTCGAGCTGTCAAAATCATGACGAGGCACTCTTTTAGTTCGCCCTTTATCAGCGACAACAGCCCGCATCGCCACCGCCGCCATTTCGTCCCATCAACTCGGGCACAAAAACTCTCCTTCCCGGCTCCCCCTTGCCCTCCCCCTATACACACATACACACAAACACACACACGCCACCGTGGCCGGCAGCTGTACCGCCGGTGAGCCGAGGGAGCTCCGATACCCCCCGGGGATTCTGTCGGCAGCCAACAGTGCCGTGGCCGAGGTAGCCAAATCGCCCCAGGGGCGCACACACTGAGTGATGGTAATTAAATCGGCGTTAATTGGTGACCGGTGGAGGGTTTATGAACTCGAGTGGTCACATAGTGTAGCCCTATGTAGCATAGAGGGTTTGCAACGGTGGCAAGCAAATGCAATAGCTAAGTTGTAGGAGCCAGCTGCTGAGAAAAAAATAACAGTAAGATAAGAAAATGAGCAAATAATTATCAAATTTTAACAATCACAATTTCCTTTAAATTAAACTTCTGCGATGTCCATTTATGGTCTTTAGCCCTTATAGACACGTCTATAGCTCTAAGAGTCCGTCTATAGCTCTAGTTTCTGTAGTTAATGGGACGAGATATGTTTAGTTGAAACTTAAATTTGACAGGTTCATCGAGGCCTGAGCCATCCACAGCGTTCTGAGTGTGACTAAAAACGAGCGCACATGCACATTGTGCGTGCATATCCAGCTCTCACCATGTGCACACTGCTGACGGCTGCATGCAACAGTGCACTGTGCACACTGTCGCCCGCTGACTGTGCACAGTCACGCCAGCCGGCAACACAGTCGTAATGCGGCTCCGAGCTGAGTGACGCACTGGCAGAGGACGCTGCAGAAGCAATTATTGTCACATTAACTGACCGTTTGCCGCACGCGAACCTGGCTCTAATGGCTGCAGCGGACGCCGAGCGCCGTGGAGTTGTATACGCTGGGCAAACACGATAAGGGTCCTAAATGGTCGTCCACTTGAAGAAAAGCTTGGTCGTTTTGTTTGATAATGAATCGAAAACATGAACTATGAATCATGCCATTGGTCACTTTTAACCACTTGTTTCGGTAGCAAGGTTGTTTTTAGTTAATTGCGCACTTTCTATTTGTGAAGTTGAACAGTAGATTATTTACTTTGATGACGCCTGTTCCTTGTTTACTTGGTACCTAACTGATAAAAATTTACTGTGAGTGCCTTCTTAATTTGTACTTCTTTAATTATGTAATCATCAGACACTCTGAATGACGCTCTGATTGTCTGCCGGCGTTGACGCAGAACTCGGGGGACCCCTGGCACCTCCTTGGGGAAGCCCGTCAACGGTGGCCGGTCAGTTGTCACAAGGATGTGGGGCTTGACCTGAACACGCCCCGGGCACGTATCGCCCGGCGATGACGGGCTTCTCGGCTACTTTTTCCAACTCACTGTCACGCCAAGGAACGTGTGATGAAAAAATGTTACCGGGTACAGGGAATTGAGAAAGCTGCGATAGGCGTCTTCATAACTTCTGGTAGGCTGCTGAATGGGCTTTGAATTGAACATACAAATTAACTGAGTAATATATTGTCAGAGGCAAATTTTCATTTCAATGCGTATTGCAAGCATTGCAAATGAATTTTCGGCGGTACTTAAACTATGTCGTATAGGCGGTATAGGCAATTAATCAAGCGCATACAAAGTGATTTTTATGTGTCTTTTTTAGTGTTTAGTGGGTCCTACTATTAATGACAAAGTTAAACAACAAGCGAAGCATATATTTATTCCTAGATGATGCGCTAACATGACATTTAAGTGTGTTTTTGTTTTGTGCAGCTGCCTTTTCCATGCTGTAGGATATCAGATATAATACTGCCGTTTGCTTCGGAGATTCGTCTTTGGATGTAGTGTATTAAAAAAAAGCTTTATGCAGTTCATGCAATGTGTGTATACTGGCAGTAGGAAAACATTTTATCGAGGTAGGTAGGTATAGGAAAACTTTCAACTACAAAACAAAATATGTGCCTGACTATGAACAGAAGCTTGTTAAGACGAATTTTATGCATCTAACAAAACGAACATGTTTATGCTACGCTTCAGAATATACCCCGAATGAGGTTTAGAACAAAGGAGACGATATGTCATGCATTCTTTTGACTTCACGATTCGGTGGAACTAAGTACCTATACTTGAACAAATATGTACATGATGATCGGACAGCTTTGTGACTAACGTTGCGATGGCTTTGTCTTATCAGAAAAGGGAAACAAAGCTAGTTGACGGAGCTATCAAACAAGTAGCAGAATTTGCTACCTAAAGGCGATGCCACTGGAGCCAACACCAGTGCAATTTTTTATTGCCAATAGTTCCGCTACTGTTTTACCGCCGCGCTGATTAATAGTAATGGCTACCGTGTAAGATACTGTGCTGTGGTTAATTGAATAGCTATAGCATCGTGTTTTTGTTCGCTGAAGTGATTCTTCCCACTGATATTGCCAACGCTGATTCAATAAAGTGAATTATAAGGCTGTTTATATCTTGACAAGTTCCAATGCACTTATTACGTTGGTTATGCATGTGAATACCTGTGAGTATGTTTGTTGAGCAAGCCACTTGCCTCGGTATCAAAGGCGTCTACGGAAGCTCTGACCTCTGATGACCTTTTGTTGACCTTTTCAGGCACCTGGGCAGCCGGGACAGCCGTTCAAATTCACTGTCTCAGACTCGTGTGACCGAATTAAAGAAGAGTTCTCATTTCTGCAGGCGCAATATCACAAGTAAGTGCCGTTTCCCTTCCCCGACGAGAGTGGTGACATTTCACTCTATTGCGGTGCGTTTCCCAGCCGTAAAACGTCCGTTTCAAGTTCTCAGTTCGTAGTCACTGCACTGTAGCGGCGAGCGCAGTGGTCTGAAGCTAATGACTCAGATTTGTGATTAGGTGTTTCAACAGGTCGCTTTCCGCTGTGAGCTGATTTGCCGACTCATCGAACCGTGTCATAGTGTGTTTTCGAACTGTCGTGCCCGCAACTAAACTCGACGCGCGGACCACATCAGTGGCGGCGGCCCGATTCAGGCGGCCCTGTTGATGGGTATAACCGCAATCGCCGGCTCCACTCGACATTGTGTCGGCCGGTCCACTTGTGTTTGATGAGCTCATCCGGCCTTCGGCGCAGATTTCCTGTCGGTAGATACTAGATAACTGAACTGGCCGACGGCAGGCCTGTTTTGCCGGGCTGTTGGAGCTACGGGGGACGCCTGCACATAGCTGTTACAAACCCTCGCCAGTAACTCAAGCGGCTTTAGCTCTCTATTGTGTGTCCCCCTTGATCCGCCAGCAGCGTCCCTCACTGCGGATCATCAGCTGATGGTGCACGTGCGGGAGTGGCCAGGAAGGGGGGGGGGGTGTTTATCAAAGCACGCCGCCGCCGGGGCGCCTGACCCCGTGACCTCACCCGTTCGGTGGTTCTCAAACCGCGTCATATCGGCAGTGTACCGCTCACAAGCGCACGTGTGTTTGCTGATTACCCTTCCTAATTATCGGCGCTGTCGGTGGCAGTGTCGACCCTAATATCGATCTCTGTCCTACCGTCCCTCCCCTCTCTCTCTCCCTCCGCAACTCTCTCCTCTATCCGATGATCGACCGCCGGCGGTGACAGCCGTGCGGCCCTTTGTGTAACCCGAACGGGCCCGGCGCCCCGCCACCACATTAGCGTCCAAGTGTCTGTGAGCACCGCCCCGGGGGCCGACCGTTGTCGCCTGTGGTTCGCCGCCCGAGCCGCGGTCATCCATCAACACAGCCGGTGTTTAGCGAACGCCTCGCAACCAAAGTGACTCGTTAATCACGGGACGTGGCTCGGCCTCTGGAAACCGCCGACTGTCCGATAATAGAGTAACTAATCGAGAAGCTGGAGCGGACATTATGAGGCCGATTTTCTGCGGGTCGGTTGAAAACTGTTGGGTGTGTTGGCGGTCTAAGACGGCCTTGGAGGTGCCGTCGGCGTCTGAGGCTTTTCCTTAGATGACAAGTGTGTCTGTAACTGTGTCTCATGTGTGCTTGTGTGTGACAACACTCCCACGGGTCTTGAGGGAATTATTTTCCTCTCCCAAGACTGAGCTGTCAGAAAAGCCGGTGCAAGTTTGCGCCGATCCGAGGAAATAGCTCCAGCTGTTTTTGGCATGTTGGCCTCAGCGACAACGTTGTCGTTAGCTGTTGCAAATTTTATGTTGTCAACGCAGCTCGAACTGAGGTCGTTTTGCTCGCTTCAGCCGGTATTATTTTAGACATTTTAGTAATGGTATATCTGTTAAACAGATAATCACATTTTGTCCGAAGGTATTACTTTCGACGATAAAGGTAAAAGTACGTCAAGTGTGGAAGCTTATGACCAACCCAGCAACCGTCGTCTCAGATGTTTTAACGCTGGATTTCCCTGCTACAAATAATGCGCCCATGACAAGGTTTGATCCGTGTCCTACACCGTCTGTTCGTGATGCTGGCTTCCGACTTGTGTCATTACCGAATTCCACTGCGCCGGCTCGTAAACCAACCACACGATTCGGCGATACATGTGTCGCAGGTGAGCTCACCAGCAAGACAGGAGGATTAGTGTCACCATTTTGTAACAATCGTATTATCCTCGTGGTGCGGTGTCACCGGCGATTCGTTTATTCGTCAGACATGACTCGCCGCCGTCGGCAAGGCTGTTTAGGGCTGGCTACACATGGGCTAGGGGAAAGGTTGCCGAATGTTTTACCACTCTGGGAAAATATGTGATTCTTGCTTTATGACAATGACTTTGGCTGTCAAGGACTTTGAAGGAGCCCCGCCGTAGAAAAGGAACTGGAACATATGCGCTTTATATGATCCCGAAAGGTGCATAGAAACTGTTGGAACCGACTGAATTGCAGGTAAATCGCATCTAAACCGTAACGAACAATTTGTTGATTGTGTGATAGACCTAAGATTCTAGGCACTGTTATTCCCTTTAACATTTAGCACCATAGACGATGCTGAATGTAGCATAAATGTAGCATCATCAAGCATCATTTACACTGTCATCTACATTTTTCTGGAGTTGAACGAGCGGCCACAATGCGAGCATTGATCGGATGATAACTGGGGACTCCAGAGTCGCTTCTGGAGTCTGGAGTCCCCAAGGACTCCAGTCGACTGGGGACTCCAGAGTCGACTGGGGACTCCAGAGCAATTTTTTGCCCGAATCTTTCACAATATCCGGTATTCAGTGATGCAGAAATTGCGTTCGGTAGACGACCATGTAATGGTAATTTCGTCGTTGTCATTTTTTTCGTCGGGTTGGACAAGGAATATTTTTAGTGATGAACGATTGGCTTTGAACTTAACTTATCTCGCGTTTTGTGAGCTAAATGAGTGGGGATCGCAGTGTATACTCGGGTGTCGTTTCCTGCAGATCAACATTAGACATGTCGTCACTGCCCCACATCGGTTAAACCCACCTGGTTTTCCAGGACAAACTCGGCTGTTCGTTCTTAAAACTCAGATTCAGCGGGATCCGATTTCGAACAAAGATACACGACTTATCTTCTTGTCCATGTTATCTTCCTATCATTATCACATTATCCTCATTTTATCATCATGTTAAACTACCACAAAGCTGGTACTTGTCGTGTCCAGCTTGTCCGGCGCTTACAACTCAGGAAAATCGCGATGTTAGCCGATATTTAAGTCTAATCTGATGCTTTTACACGAAGTGTGACTTCAAGAGGAAATCGTCTTTTTCGGCGCTGCAGCTGCGCTCAAAGGGACGCTCGTGTCTTAGGTTAGGTCGTCGAAATGCGCTTTGGAGCCAGCTTTATATTGCTGGCAACAGGGACACGTGGCAGCTAATTGCTCATTATTAATTGTTTGGTCATGATGTAAATGCAGCATCAGTGTATCCACGGTAAGTGCACCGCTTAAAATTAATTGACTTTGCTCTGGCCGCTTATACACAAAAGCCCTCTGAACCTGACATCAAGTCACCAAATGATATGCATTGACACAAATGTAGAAACTATGTACCACATACCGATACCGGGTACTTTTGTCAACCATTAAGCTCAATTCCTATATTCCTCCCACTCCCGTAACGCAGGCACGTTATAGGCACACCCACCACCTCCCCCACGGCATATGAAAGCCACTGTGGCCTGGCTAACAGGCACGTAAGTCGATAGCATCCATATTTGAACACCGTATTTACCCTGAATAAACTATAAGGTGGCACGTGCTTTTTGTGCCACACCGCAGCGAACGCATGGGACAACGGGTGCCCGAACACACCCCATTGCGTGGATGGTCAATAGGGGCGGGTTTTTGTGGTATACAGGAGAAGCGCTCGCCCTTATTGGTGGCGTTTGGCTTAGTATAGGCGGTGGCACCAAGGCTCAATACTGGGGATCTGTAGATCCAGCCGTCACTCAGGATGTGGCCACTAACTAATGCGATATGAATGGAAACCATAGCTGCCCCAGGGCAGTGGCCGGGTATGATTTACCTCCAGAAATAATTCGGTAGAGGAGGTTAATTGTGACTCCTGGTGGATGAATTAGCGAGAATTGTAAAGCTAGAGTGAAAGCTGATTGCAACAGCTTCATTAGCAAACGTCGACACTTTTCCTGCGATAATTGGTCAGCTCATGTTCTTAGTCAGAGGCAGACGTCAGGCTGTTTTATCCACGGACACACTGCTCGGCTTTGAATTACCATATCACTTAGGTATCATTGTTTTCCTATTGATCTCCCGTCTAACCAAAACTGTATCACATAGGTTTATCCATTTTATATTTACTTTCGGAGCAAAATCTAATCGTAACTAACCTGTGCAGGTGATTAGTAAGATTATCCACTATTTTCGTCACCTCTCCGATCATATGTCTTCCATATTGCCGTGTCTCTTTGGGTCGCATTTACCACAAAATGGCCGTCGCGGGCCCGCGCTGTGATTAATCGTCTGCGCCAGTAACGATCCAGCGCCGCTGTGCGTCAGCTTTGTCGCCTTTGCGGCGTCTTTGTCGTCCCTGCGCCGCCGCCTTTCGTCGGAGTCTTTGTCGATGTAGCGCCGCTATCGTCGAAGTGCAATAAACAAACGTCATATGACACGACCCAACATCAGTTCCGCCACCCATTAGGCCGGTCGGACCCTCACTTCTGGCTATTGCGGACCATCCGTCTTTCATTTTGTTTGCGGTTCCGTATGTCATTTGGTGTGTCGCTCTGCTGTCTGGTTGACGTTTTATCTGACATTTTATGTAGTCACAGAGTTCACCTACTGCAACGGGCACAAAGATCAGTGGGTTCACGCGAGGCACGATCAAGGGTCAATGCCGTTTCCTACGCAATATTCCAATAGCACGGATCAACCTACGTGGCCTTACATAATCAATAAATTACCAATGCTTACCGCTCCTGTTACCCACAAAGTTGTCCACAACCAACTGCAAAGAAGTTATAGGTGCAAATTTTCAATACTGTGACGCATGTTCACAAAGAAAAACGAACCGCAGCTATTGGTTTTCACGAAGTCTATAGAGCTACTTTGAAACATTGTGGATTTTTAGTTATGAGTCAAATTCGTTAAACATTTCGCCAGTAAATCTGAAAACGAAAAACTTTACCACCTGTAAAGTAACACCGCCTGCGATGAGCAGCTTTCATCAAGTCCTCGTCACTCAACTGCGAGCCCAATCTCCTTTCGCCTCCGTCACCGCACATTGCTGAAACTTCTCCGCCCGGCGCCCACGAGCGCGGCCAACTTCAATCCGGGGACTGCTGCCGCCCGGTCCGGTGGCGGCCCACCTCATTAGAAAGTTTCCCAGCCATTATGTCGAGTTGGCGACGTGGGCCGCCCCGAGGGTGTCCCCAAGTCGTTTCGCAGAGATCTTGAGGCCACTTTGGTCTCATTGGAGATCCTGAGGCCACTTTGGTTTCATCTGCAGTCGGCAGACTTTGGTAAGCCCTTTGTGGCTGTCCCAGCTCAAAGTGCGTGGCAGCGTGGTGATGCTCTATGACCTCTCACGCCGTCGTCTTGGTCTCTTACTCGGTCACCACTTGCCCAGTTCTCTAGACAGAAATCCACTTAGAGACTTACCATCGACGAGCGATACCCCTGGCTAGACTCGTATGATACTCGGCTAGACTCTGTGATACTCGGGACCTCTTGATCTCTTTCTCTGCGCTGGGCGGCGCTCGATGGATTCTGTGAAACGGTTCAGTGCTCTTGAACGGGGCCGGATCGGCTCCACAATCCCTTTATTCGCCACTGAATCTCTTTGGTCAGCCCGCATTTCTGGCAGAGTCTGTCACACCAATGCTCTGCTCTTTTCCTCTTCATCCTCTACCCCTCCTCTGCCTGCCAAACTCTATCCCCTCATCCGCGCCACCCGACAATGTGGAGAGACCGGATCAGTTTCCATCAGAATGGCCCCTCCGCCGTCCGATCCGCCTCTCCACTGCCCTCTCCCCCTCCCCCCTCCCTCCCCGTCGTCGGTCCGTAGTGGGGCGTCGTGTCGCCCGCCGTCGGTCGGTCGGCTCGTCGGCGGCCGTCGGTCGACCGTGGCTCCCGTCGATAACGACACGCCCGATGATTTTCCGGCCGATGCGCGCATCGATCGGTGCCCTCTTCCGAGCGGCATCTCATTTGCGCTCGATGCCGGGCCTCGTCGGCTCCGCTGCGGGTCCACTCGACCGCGGGAAGCGCACACCACTGCATGGGGCTCTTGGTGTACGCTCCTAGCACTGGTCGCCCGGGGTGTGTGGCTGCGGGCGCCATCGTGGGTGCGCCGACGCCGACGTGGCGCCTCCGATGCCCGTCGGCGGGTCTGTCACCACCACGCGCGAGTTTTTCATCGACCACGCGGTCCCCAGCCGCTGAGTGGAAACTGGAAGGGTTACCCGGCGGCGCGGCGGTGTATTAATTGAGCGCGTCGACGGCCGCCTGCACGCGCCCTCCCGCGGGATGCCTAGCTGGGGGAGGACCCCAACCAGGGGAGCACGCCGGCATGAAAATTACATCGAGGGATAATTTGTTTACGGCACAAATGACGATGGTGGCGGACGGCGCGCACGGCAGCACTGCGCCGCTAACGTCACAGTCGCTTCGCCAGTGCCGCGGCGCGTGAATAATAGAGATGGGTGGACGTGATTGGTCGTGGCGGCACACCCTAATCGCCGACTCTGGTTACCGGGCGGACCCGCGTGAGGGCGAGTGTGTCGCATTCGACGGGGGAGCTTTGAACGCAGGGGGTGATTATTAGAACGGGTCCGCCTCAGCGGGGGCGCCCAGTGAGTAATCCGTGCTATCGTGAGCCTTATTGAGTCATGCTTTGACGTTGATCGGAAAATCAATTCAACCGCCGCAGCATGACAAAGACTCACTGATTACCGGTGTGTGGTTATGATGGCGAAGTACGTACGTTTATGCCCAACCAAGACACATTTGGAAGGTTTTTTTGTCTTCGGCAGGGAATCTCTAATGCGGCTATCAATGAAGATATTTACTGTTCACTGTGTTCAGGGTTCTGCTGAAGTTGGTGTGCCTGCTTCTCAGTGGCGGCAGCCATGGACCAAATTGGCAAATTGATGGCTAACTGTGTCTTCTCAAAACGTATTGGTATGCAAGATCGGCACGGTCGGGCGTGTCAATATGACACTGGCGCCGCCTGGTGAACAGCTGACCAACTACAGTTTGTTCGTCTGCCACGATACGACGTGTTCAACAGGCTGTGTGCGTGGTGCGATCGTACGCAATCCAGTGAGTTTGGCGCCTGAGAAGCCTGGCGCAACTGTTGCCCCTGTGAATGGCAGGCTCCAGCTGTCGAACGGCGTCAGATTCTGCTGTTCACATGACGTAGCAGGCGAGATTGATAGCTAATTGGCGCTGTAATGCTGTTAGCGCTTCGAGTACCCGGGGCTCGAGTGCTATTTTAGAATGTTTGCCGCCCATTCAGATTTACTGAAGCCTCAGTCCATTCATAGCCGCCTTCGGGAGGATTTTGGTCAAGTTGCTACGTTATCAGTTCGGTGCCTTTGTATTTGTCACCCAAAATGCTTAATTAAGTCGCCACTTAAAGGGCGATTATCTGAGGTTTTGTAGGTGTGCGATGAGTATTGGGTACCTTAAAAAGAATATCACTTGACAGTGCAAATCCTCATATATTTTCGTTAAATTCAGACAAACGCATTTTGACATTTTGTATTGTCATTGCTACCCTCCCTCATCTTTTCAACGCTCGAAAGCTCGTCATTGATTATGGTGCCACGGTTGTGGTTATTTGAGCGGCTACATTATTACTGCACCGTCACCGAGCTCCTAACCCTAGCAAACAACATTTCAGGAAAAAATTCCCCAGTGTGTGCGCGTCCAATTAAATGTTCCTGCATTATCAACTCCCTCGTCACTGCCACACCCGCCCTCCTCAGACCTCCCTAGCCCTCCTCTCTAATGACAAACTTCATCGGCTGCGCGTCTCCCCGACAGACCTCGAGCTCTCCCCTCCCCTAGCTGTCACTACCGCTTTAATCAATCGCCCCGACAGTCCTGAGAGGCCGTTGATTGGCCATTTTTTCCGTGTATCCACAAAGGTTTTTCATTTCTCCCCTCGTGAGATCCCCTCCGCAAATCCTCTGAGTAGCGCGAATCCTCCACCCCTGCTCCTTCACTTTCATCTCTCCCCTTCCTCCTCCATTCTTTTCGTTTCCACTCGCCCGTGCTCGATGGGGAAATCGCGCTACTCCGATTATTCCAGCTACTGAGGCGTGTTCCAAACGGGCATAGCACGAGCCGAACCGATAGAGCGCTTTGACTCTAAGCAAAATAGCTCTTAACTAATAGTTTTTACCATTTCTCACAGACAGTGACAATACATTAACAATTAAAATATTCTTATTGTATTTGTATTTGTTGCTAACTCGTCATTATCTGTGAGAAAAACGAAAGGTCTCTAGCTCTTCTACATAATCTAACTTTACTTATAGCCTTGAGCCTCGATAAAAATGGAAAGCACTGAAAAGCACAATGCTGTTGATGTTTTGCATGATTCATGTTATAAAGGCTATAAAGGTCAAATTATGTCAATTTCAACATATCTTCTCCATCAAAACGGCAACCAAGCGGCAGGTAAGTTTTTATTAATGCGAGCTCAATCTGCACTAAGCTGAGCTCTAAACAAGAACCGAAGTACGCCAGCGAACACTATACCCACCTCGCGCCATATGCCCTGTTCACACAATCCCCGAGTACTGCTGCCCGCAGCTGTGCGTCTGCTCACGATGATTCTGATTGGCTGCGCTCCACCCGGGCTGCCAAACTCGTGTTCATTGATGTCTGTTCTCCGCTGCGAACGTCTGTGGGCACCTCCATTGTGAAGAAACGTCAGCTGTTGTGCACTCGTCCATCTCTGAGCCTCGCCATTCATTGTGTTGCTTCGCGGCCACGATCCCATCAGTATAATGATGGTACCTGTCTGTCAACTGTCGACCAGAACACGATGGGCGAACGCTGACTGAGAACTTCTCTTTCTTCCGCAGCCTGAAGCTGGAATGCGAAAAGCTGGCCAGCGAAAAGATTGAGATACAGCGCCACTATGTGATGGTGAGTGTTCGAGGTTTTGGGGACTGTGGGAGGTGGGGTTGGGGCGGGACTGTGGAGCTTAGGAAGGTAAGAAGGTGTTTTGCTGGGAAGTGGACGATAGAGAGTGTGGGACAGGAGTGTTGGAAGGGTTTGTGAAAGTTGGGAAAAGGAGCGACTGCCGCCATTGTTTAAGATTTTGTGGTAAAATATAATCGATGTAACGTCTAACTTTTTGTCTGTAAAAAAAATCAAAATTTGCTTACGAACCGGCACGGCCAATACTGCCACTCACTCTCTTGTGACATAATCGCCGCCGCCACTTCTTTTTTGTCAACATGCAAATAAAAAAACAACAACGACAACAAAAACAGAGTGGCAGTTATCATAAGCGGTGGCATGTAGCACGTCTCGAGTCCGCTCCCCTAGACCGCGCTGACAAATTCATCACGTCCCGTGGCCGGCTGCCAAGCCCCGTTCACCGGACGGCCGACTGGGGAGCCGTTTCGGTAGGCCGATTTCGTCGATAAATTTCGACGTTGATTTATTGAAATTGCTACCGAGCATCAGTTTTCGAGATAACTTTGATGGCGTGCCCGGGCTCGGCGCCCAGACCTCATACAGGGCTCGTCCGTGATTGAGAAAACTTGGCCGAAACTATTAATTCGCGCTGTCAGGGAGGTGTCGGCGGCGGTCGGTGGGCGTCGGAACATTATTAGAGTTAGGGGGGAGGGGGAGGGGGCCTACCTGGGTCACGTCAGGTGGGTTGGAGAGGGGGAGTGAGACAGGGAGGGACAAAGGGCCTGGGGCAAGGTTGGCGTCTGTTTTTGGAGACGTGTCAACAGGTTATTAAAAGTGTGTTGTGATGGTTTCGGCAATGCATTGAACATTATTCGCATAGGTACTACATATAGTGTATTACGATACGCCGTCAAAATAATTTTCGTGCTACTTAATTGTGATATTTAGCCCGTGTTAGTTAGTTAGTAGCTAACGTGCGGTTCCATAGTCCTTACAGCACAGAACTGATGTCTCGCCGCTGTCTGTTTCAGTACTACGAGATGTCCTATGGACTCAACGTGGAAATGCACAAACAGGTGAGTTTATGACGTCCATAAATGGCAGCTTTCAGCAGTCTGTGAGTCTTAGATGTGGCACACTTCAGTCCGTGGACAATCAAACGATAGTGACACAGCTTTTGACAACATCTTAGTTCGTGTCACTTAACATGTCCCGCATTTCGCACATTTTAGTATGTTCGTTTCAAATCTAGGCGTGTGTGACGCCAGAAGGTGACACGTTCCAGAACATGACACTCAAAACTCACATAATTAGGTTTGTGACGTCCACTCCGTAACGTAGATGATGCTACACACTTCTCTGACGGTCATACGCCCGCTGAATGAGACCAGCGCGAAGATGTGTTTCCAAACACCACTGTCACCTGAACTATGAGAGCTGAATTTTTCTGTCACTGCTCAGTGATTCCTTCCAGTGTTCACAAGACACGATTTACTTTTCATCTTTCCCGACAGAGCATACCTACCCATATTCTGGCCACTACTGAGTACATCCCCACTTGTTGGCCCCCTGTTGATCGATACAGAAGCGTTAGCTACATTGATTAATTCCCTGCAAAGATCATCCCGTGACGACACTCGGCGCTGATTTAGGTACTTAGTTTAATTACTCCAATAAAACTCAACGCTCTAATACCCACAAATGACATTTATGAGCCGATGTGAGCTCTGTTTCCGAGCCATAATTCCCGGCATATTTCTGGACGATAATTCATCCTTTTCAAAGACGGGCTAATTTACCGCCGGGCGGCCTGCGTCCCCGCCGGAGTTTCCCGACTTTGTTCCTGCCGACGATGTCGCAGACCGACGATAATTAAACACAGAAATCCAGCGTCGTTAATCAGCTGAGTGGTAATTATTACTGTCCAGACAATGCTGATGACGCCGCAACGTGTGAAAATAACAGCGGCGACTCCACTGCTGGAAACTGATAGGGATAATTGAATTAGCTGGGTAGCTGGAATGCGCTGGCATTGATGGCTAGATTGGGTTCGTCTTTGACGCAGCTTATTAGTGCTTTGCCGCTCATGTAAATGATGTTCGAGATAATCGATTCAGATATGTTTTTGGTATTATGCTTAGGTACCTACATTTCTAAACGACCCATGCTACCGTTAAAAGAAACTATAGGATTAAATTGGACTTACTCCACAAGAGAATCGTTTTCGGTCGTAAGTAGTAAGTCGTTTTGGAGTAAGTCCAATTTAATCCTATAATATCTATTTGCTCTCCACACTAACATGTCTCTAAGTTAAAAGAAACTGTACAGAAGATGAGGCGTGAGTGTGACCCTTGTTTTGAGGAAGGACTATCCTTCCTTTTTGCCCCATGCTTGTCAGTTTCTAGTTCTATCCTTTTCCAAACACCTGGACTGGACGTCTTCATCGCCTCGCATGGCTTTGCAATATCACCCCGAACGCTCCGGAGCTATGCGCCACCGCACACGCCTCTCAGCATCATTTACATTTCCCATTTTCAGGCCACCGAGCAAAACCAGGCCATCCTTTTCAGGCTGTCGCTATTCGCCAGGGCAGTTCATCTCCTGCAGACCGACGGCTTCCCGCCGAAAATGGTGGCGGGAAGTACCTACTGTCGGCCGCGGCCGCCAGGGCGGCGCCACTGTCCGTGGCCCGTTAAATCGTCAGCGGCGGAGCCGCCAGTGGAAATGTTGAACGATCATTGATCGTCGGACGCGACGGCTCGGCAAAGCAATCATAGGACTCTATATCTATGTGTCTGGTGATTGGAGATCAATACCACGAGTCAGTGAGAGCGGTGGAGAGCGGGGCAGAGGGGGGGGGGGGCGGGGGGGGGGGGCACCCGAAGGCTTCCGAGACGCCTGAGGTCACCTCAAACACTGCAGCTGTGACATGTCATTGATTCTGAGCCGCAACTTTTGTGGTCCGAAGTCGAACCGGACTCAGATAGCGCTAATAGAACAGCTTGACCGACCAATCAGCGGCCGAGTTGACGTAGTGACGTCATTGAGTGGAGCAATGACGTCATTGATTGAATGGCAGCTACCAGTTGGCCGGAAAGAAGCGAGTGCTTGTTTATTCTAAGCGTCGAAAGTCCGGATTCCCTTAGCTTTACAAAGCTGACGGTTAAAGGGACTATCCCACCTTCTAAAATGTTGTTAAAACCAGTTAAATTGTGCCCGACTTTATAGATTGGATGACCAGGAACACGGTTCTGGCATTTATTTTTCATTAAACATCTTAGGCTTCCCATATTCCAAACACAAACTTTCAAATATGTGACGTCACAGCCCAAAATTACCTCCTTCCCCAGGCCACATTACTGTCATAAAGCTGATTCTTTTTACTCTGTAGGCACCACAACAAAGTTCAGACCAAGTTTTAAGCGATTTTTTCAACGAACAAACCCATTTAAATCAGAATGACTAAACGAGGTGACGTCACACTAACGGTCGCTCCATGTTGAAGATAGGGCCTTGTACAAGGCCCATTTTCAAATGAAGGGAACGAATTTCTTCAACACCAAGAGGCCGCGGGGGTTGCAACCTAGATAGATAGTGGTTTCTGAACCTCGCTGCAAACTTGGCTATCTCAACTCAAACCCCATGTTAAAGGTGGGATAGTCCCTTTAAATGATGAAGTTAATCAATGAACCCAAAGTAAAGCGAACAATGAAATAATTAGGCATAAGTCGTCGTGCTACATGTCACACCGGTCCTTAAGCTTGCGATTGCTATAGCTAGTTCAGACCAAAATAATAAACGTCAGTTAAGAGGCATTAAGTACCCAAATATACCATCCCGCCAACCTCATTCCAACCTCCATCCATTGCTCCTCCTTTGTAACAAACTGCCTCTGACATAATCCTCTATTTAATTTCTAAGACATTGTGAATAAGTAGCACTTATGTTTAGCACTGTGTTAGTGCTCGCAGTCACTCCTGACCTTTCTTGGCGGGTTCTTTGTCACCGTCGGTGTCTGTGGCGCAGTGGCGGCGTTTACGGCGCGCGGTGCGCCACTTTCGTGCCGGTGCGCCAGGGGCGGACTGAGGCTGCTGTCTGTCGCCGCTGGAAGACTGTTTACAGGCGGTGGGATTTGTTAGTCGGGCGGTGACACGGCTTCCGCTAATGATGACCCACAAAGGGCGGCGTGCAGTGGCGCACCCAGTGAGGTCAAATGAGGAGGCAGCCGGGATGTAGTTCGTGCAGTGGCGCGCCAAGCGAGGTCAGCTGGAGAGGCAGACTGCTCCTAACCCATATTGCTCACAAACGCAGACGAACACTGAGATAAGATGACTTCTCTTGTGAACTCAACTGAAAGTTCCGCCAAAGACGAGTCAAAACAAATCAATACGCAGAAGTGTGTCACACTTCATCGGGCTAATAATTTGCATTCGGGACAACATCACTCGGAAATTCTTTGTTCATTTTTGTTTTCCTTCGTGTGAACAAAAATTAAGGGAAATATTGCTGTTCGACGACGAACATAGTTATGTAACTACAGCTCCATTTGTCACCTAGTCCAAACACCTGACGGCTTTAGCAATAAGCATCATTTAAGTAACTATGCAATCAGAGTCGGCACTCACCTTCTAATTGTATAGCTGGACGCTTATGCGCCACTGCCGTTAGGAATGGTCTGTGAAGTTGTCAGCCCCCCATACATGACAGTTGCGCTACCCGACACTGATCAGTAGGATCCGAGCTGCGTCAAGGCGGCCGCAGGCACCACAACGGCTGTCAGCAGCCCTGATAATTATACCAGCTTCTGGCACGGGGACGGTAATTATGCAATTACTAGGGAGGATTATAGAGCTGATGGTCGCTTGTTACCCATCACAGGTGCAGACACAGCATGCTACCTGACTGAATAAAGTCACGAGCTTGGATCTGGCATCATTGTCGTCAGCATGACTTCCGGTGAAAATATGAAAGTTGGAAAGTATGATCCCCCATCATACAATAATAGGAAAGGTCACAAATACCACAAATATTTATTGTTTGCTTATTCATTATCCTTTGATTCATTGCTGTAAGCTGACAATAAATAATTGAATATGACAATAACTGATTTCTTTCAATAAATCAGTTTTGTATAATTCTAACCAGTATAACGCCTTTTGGGGCGACTAACGGAGCGAGCGAGAGGGTGGGCCTTGCACGTGCGAAATTGCGAGGGGTACCTCCAACTGACTTGTGCACGGCACCCTACTAACCGGTCTCTAGCGATGTGTCAAATTTGGGCACAATCGGCCCAGCCGTTCTCGAGATCTGGAAGCGGCACCCTGCACGTGCGCACGTGCAAAATGGGTCCCAACTGACTTGTGCACGGCACCCTACTAACCGGTCCCTAACTGTGTACCAAATTTGAGCGCAATCGGTCCAGCCGTTCTCGAGATCTGGAAACGACCCCTGCACGTGCGCACGTGCAGCAGCACCCCATCTCTGGCACATGAATATGCAGTGCCTAGTGGGTGCCTACCTACATGCCAACTTTCAGCGCAATCGGCCAAGTAGTTACCGAGATATTGCAACAATTACAAAACTGACACCTCTTCGTTTTGCACGTGGCACGTGCATAAGGGGTCACCCACATGCATCGGGAATAGTCCAATACTTGGTAGAAGGAATGAAGCTACCCTACAAAAATTACCGCATGTAAATCGGTCAAGTGGTTGCTGAGATATAAGCCTCGCAAAAGCGTCCGCACGGCCGGCCGGCCGGCCGGCCGCTCATACTCAGAAATTTCCGTTAATCTAAGGAAAGACTACTATAAACCAGTATAGCGCCTTTTGGGGCGACTAACGGAGCGAGCGAGAGGGTGAGCCTTGCACGTGCGAAATTTCGAGGGGGTACCTCCAACTGACTTGTGCACGGCACCCTACTGACCGGTTTCTAGCGATGTGCCAAATTTGAGCACAATCGGCCCAGCCGTTCTCGAGATCTGGGAGCGGCACCCTGCACGTGCGCACGTGCAAAATGGGTCCCGACTGGCTTTTGCACGGCACCCTACTAACCGGTCCCTAACTGTGTACCAAATTTGAGCGCAATCGGTCCAGCCGTTCTCGAGATCTGGAAACGACCCCTGCACGTGCGCACGTGCAGCAGCACCCCAACTCTGGCACATGGATATGCAGTGCCTAGTGGGTGCCTACCTACATGCCAACTTTCAGCGCAATCGGCCAAGTAGTTACCGAAATATTGCAACAATTGCAAAACTGACACCTCTTCGTTTTGCACGTGGCACGTGCATAAGGGGTCACCCGCATGCATCGGGAATAGTCCAATACTTGGTAGAAGGAATGAAGCTACCCTATAAAAATTACCGCGTGTAAATCGGTCAAGTGGTTGCTGAGATATAAGCCTCGCAAAAGCGTCCGCACGGCCGGCCGGCCGGCCGGCCGGCCGCTCATACTCAGAAATTTCCGTTATTCTACGTAAGACTCCGCTCGCTTCGCTCGCTCCGTAAAAAAGAAAAAGACTATATAAAAAGACTACTACTATAAAGACTACTATACGCTCGCTTCGCTCGCTCCGTAATAATCAAATAAAGTAACCGTAGGTACTCTCATAGTTAATATCCAAAATCGTAAGAAAAAGGCCTGATAATTCCGAGGAGCTATCGGGTTACGCCTTCTTCAACTCGCTCTACTTTACTTGTATAGTTACTAACTTTGTATAGTTCTATGCAAATTTGGCAGCTCACTTAACCCGCGCGGGGCTGGGGAGGGGTAAATTTTACCCCCCCCCTCGCGAATTTTTGCGATATCTCAAAAACGGCGGCGCGCAGCGCCGCCAAACTTTCAGTACCTTTTCTTACATCAATTTGACACGTTCCCTGAAAATTTGAGCGAAATCCGTCGGAATTTTTTTGAGAAATTGACGTTTTAGTGACGTCATGTTCGCCATTTTCGCCTCAAAAACGGCAAAAGTTCAAACGCCGCTAACATCTTCATTTTTAAAGGAATCAAGACGTATCAAAAAAGGTTATACGTAATTTTACTTTGTCTATCAAATGGCTATCTCTGTTTTTTGAAAATTTTGGATTTTGGCCTAATTTTTTTTCAAAAAACTGACTTTTTTGGGAAAATCATTATAAAATCCAAAATTTTGAGTCTATCGAAAAAACCGGAATATATGTCAGAGAAGTGGT